CGTACATATTAATTTCTCGAATCGATAAACTGTTGCTCACCCAGTACAGCCTTTAAAAATTTGTAGCCAACTTTAAAAGTTGGTTTGGTTTTGGTTCGTGGGTCTCGGATATAAGATATTTCCTGGTTATTAGATATTTCAACCAAGGCATTGATTTTTGCTGACAGTGGCTCTTTCTCTTTATTTGCTAATGTTGCATTGCCAACTTTTGAAATTTTATGACGAATGTAGTGAAGTTTCACTTTCGTGTTGCCGTAATTTCGGAATAAAAAATTTATTTTTACCGGTAAGATAACAAAACGAAAATACTTTAAAGTGAGGAACAATTTATCTGCCTTGTTAGTAAAAGCAACTTTACTGCTTTCATTAGAAACGGGCCCTTATATCACCCTCGAAAATTTCATTATCACTATGGCACTGGCACGGTCTTTCATAGCCATAACCTTTGTTCATCTCAGTGGTGGATTCACGATCACTTGCTGTTGTTGTAATGATTGCTGGACGCTGAGGAATCACTGTTGGCCTAATGGTAAACGGAATGCCCGTTGTAGTGCCAACGATCTCCTCATTTGTTGTGCTTACTAACGACTCTGGTGTGGTTGTCGTTGCTGTTGTTGAAATGATTTCTGGACGCTGAGGAAGCACTGTTGGTCTAAAGATCAACGGAATGCCTGTTGTAGTGCCAACGATCTCCTCAGTCACCTCAGTTGTTGTGCTTACTAACGACTCTGGTGTGGTTGTCGTTGCTGTTGTTGAAATGATTGCTGGACGCTGAGGAAGCACTGTTGGCCAAAAGATCAACGGAATGCCTGTTGTAGTGCCAACGATCACCTCAGTCTCCTCAGTTGTTGTGCTTACTAACGACTCTGGTGTGGTTGTCGTTGCTGTTGTTGTTGTAGGTATTGTTGTCGAAGGTCTCTCAGTAGCGGTGGTGGTGGTGCTGCTGCTGGTTGTTGTTGTGGTTGTGGTAGTAGTGGCATAGCTTGTGGTTGTTTTTGGCGCACCTGTAGTTACTTCCGGTGTGAAACTAGTATTCGGTTCTGTGCTTCTTTCCGTTGTTGTTCTTCTAGGTCGGCGTGTAGTCGTTGCTGTATTGAACTTGAATCCAAGCTTATTACCTAAGATGCCACTGCCGGCACCACTGCCACCAAAGGAGGAAAGTAAATTAGTTACCAAAGTCAATTTCCGACTTATAAGATTTACAGGCAGCTGGAAGAGACCACCAGATGCGGAAAAGCTTGAAGAGGAGGAGGAGTAGGAAGAGGCAGTAGACGTGGAAGGCGCTGAAAATAAAACGGAAGCATACAAGTTTTTACTTAAACATACATATTTTACAAATGTATAGAAATACGCGATTAATTTTGAGGTTGTATATGATTTTCTAAATCAATTTAATTAACAAGTTAAATAAAGTATTTTATTATTGGTATCAAACGAATTTTTTGAAAAGGGTTGCCACCTACTTTAAAATTTAAATTATAAGTTCAACAAAATTGCCACGTTTTTAATAATTTAAATTTGATTTTAGTAATAGGTTTAATCGAATATTACAATATGGGTGAAAAACTAAAGAGGTTTAAGAATGTTTTATTTAGAAAATGTTTTGAAGACGGTTGCAACCTGTTTACAAGGAAGTCCTATTTTATCATTAGCACAATATATCGACGGCTGAGTAGAAGATCGAAATATCTCGGCGGCCGGTTCGAAAACACGCCGTCTCAGAAAACTTTTCAATAACGCCCTAATTCAGAATTTGATTGAAGGACGCCCTATTTCAGAATTTCAAAGAAAAACGTCCTATCTCAGAATTTGGTTCCAAAACGCCCTATCTCATCTGAAAATATATTAAAAGTGTTGTAATGGGGCGTTTTTGAATCGGCAGCCGAGATAGAGCATTTTTGAGCCGAATTCTGAAATAGGGTGTTCTTCAATTAAATTCTGAAATAGGGCGTTCTTGAAAAGTTTTTTGAGATAGGGCGTTTTAGAACTGCCTGCCGAGTTAGGTCGATCTTCCACTCAGTCGTCCATATGTAGTATTACAATATGGATGTCAATCAAAAGAGGTATGTATAAGAAAGCGTTGTTTCGAAAATATTTGCAAAGAGGGTTTCCACATGTTTAATAGTAACTAATTTGATCAGTTACGTAGGTCACACGAAACAAGTTTTTTAAAAAGTTGTTTCCTGCTTAAGAGCTGTTTCCAGCTCTCTAGAAAAACGAAAAATTCATACAAAATGACGCTCAAGAAATGGAAAACAATTTTCTTCTATCAAAATTTCTTGAATCAGTTTGCAGCTCTCAAGAAAAAAATGCTCTAATATTTATCTCTTCAAGCAAATTTACAGCAAACGCAAAGTGGTTTTCCAAGCAACAGAAATATTGAGAAATATGTATTTCTTTTGATTTTTCTTGAGAGCTGGATTCCAAGCTTTAAACGTAAAATTCAATTCAATGAAATATTAGGTACAATATTGATGTCGAACGAAAGTTGTTTAAGAAAACTTTTTTAGGCGAACAGTTTTGAAGAGATTATCAACACTTTAAAAAATTAGTTTCAATTTAAGTGAACATCTGCAAAATGGAATATCTTTCGTCTTATCAGCAAAAATTTCCGCCTTTTCCAAAATTTCGTTCTATTTATTCTGCTAAATTAAATATTATTAAAGTAGTACGTACATATGTATTTAATTCAAAAGATTCGAATAAATATTAACATAGCTTCATGTATTTGAGGCATTCGACTTGGCTTGATTAAATCACAGGTTTTGTGAATTCACATTACCCCGTAAGGTATGTACAAACAAAATGGGATGCGATAATTTAACAATTTTTGGCGGTTTTTTATTTATTTAATGTACATATATTATTTTTTTATAAAAGCATAGCTCAAACTTACACTTTCTTATACTAAAATTTAATAGGCTAGACAGTAAGCTATACTTTCATAAAAAATAATAAACACATGTATGCACGTACATATGTATGTACATATTAAATACATACCTCTAGTGGTAAGCACAAAGAAATTTTTTGGCAGCAAAAGAAATGGTTTCGCTTCTGTATGTTGCAATAACATTGCTGTGGCGCCAAGTAAAAGTAGAATAATTGCATTCTTTGACATGATGATAATAAAAAAAAATTTCAAAATTTCAAAATTATACTTCCGCCACTTTTTTATTAAGCAAAAAAGACCACTTCCTGTTTTCGCGGATTTCGTTTTTGCCGTTACGCCTTTAGCGTTCGCGTGCCAAATTTGTACTGAAGTGGTTGCTTCTGACAATTATACACTTAAACGGTCGACAAAATTCGTAGTTGGAGCATACATGTTTTGCAAAAAGTGTTAAATAATTTGCCTGCGCAAGTGTACGCTTACGTGTATTGGTTTGCATGAATCTACATAAGAAGATCTTAAGCGAAATCAAAAGAGAAGAAGTCCGCATAGTTCTTCCTAAATCTCGTTCTGCATCTTTGTTTTGATTTTTATGCATAGATAAGTACGTACGTACCCAAAATATCGAAGTTTCTTACAATTAATTTCGCAATTCACAAGCAGAGCGATGATAGTTTGCTTTTGCATAAATCTTCTATATCTACTGACCCTGTGTGTGGAATAAACAATTAATAGATGTTTAGAATTTTTAATTATAAACATTAAAATTTTATCAAAATTGTTTAGTTATTTCGAGCAAAAAAAAATACATTGGTAATACTTGAGCTATGGCTTTACTCTTTTAGATTTCTAACTACTGGCTTTTAGGGATATTCATTGTATGTACATTAGGGTGGTCAATAAATGCATGTGGAAAAGGAAAGTCGGAATTTTTATGCTCTCTCCCCTAGGATTTTTCTATGCCAAAAAAAATAGACCCTTTTTTTTATTTTGAAAGCAAAAAATATTTTTATATGGGAAAAATAAAATTTTTCCCAAAAATGGTATAGAATTCTTGAAAATCAATATTTTTCGATCGGGAAACTCTGGTTCTCTTCAGGAGACTTTCAATAATAATACCAAATTGTTTATTTAACCATTTTTTATTACTAACGATTTTTTATTGGTCGCCCCATTGCATTTTTCGGGGTTTTTGTGTGTTTTTGGCGGACCTATAAATTATAGTTGCGATAAAAAAAAGGTTAAATAAAAAAATTGGGTATTATTATTGGGAATCTCCTGCAGATAAACAGAGTTTTCTGGTAGAAAAATATTGTTTTTTAACTTTTCTGTGCCATTTCTACGAAAAGTTATTTTTTCTCCATATAAAACAAAAAATAAAAAATAAGGGTATAGAACAATCCTAGAGGGTGAGAGCATAAAAATTCCGACTTTATTTTTTCACATGCATTTTTGGATCACCCTATGTACATATAGATACATTTCATTTCAATGTACACACATCGGAGTATTTCCTGTCATCAAACACGCAGTCAGCACATTTAGGTCCTCATCACTGTTGACAGTTATAATTTTGCAGTTTTGGGGGACTTCAAATACTTTGGAATCAGCATTAACCACAATAATAATGTCAGCCTTGAAATCCAACTCGTAGACCTGGGAGGTGTTGAATATACATACGTCTTCCCCTAATTCCGGATATCATTCGTTTCCGTCTCGATTGAATGGTTTGCAGTTAGCAGATTCCGAATGTATTTAACGAAGCCTGTCTACCTCAGTGATGGTTGCATACAGCTTTCGGCTCAGTAAGCGATCAAACAACTAGTAGTAGTTTCTTTAAAAACCTTACCCTTCCCACGCTGAGCATGGGACCCGCCATGTAAAAAATCAATCCAATGGCAAGATCAAATAAGTCTCATATACTAACTTTTCCCCACGTTCCACTAACTGCAGCTCTCTTCTGCTGAGGTCTGGGCCCAAATCCACAAAGTATAGTGCCAAATAATTCAAAATTAAAACTATCAGCCGTTCGAAGGAAGCGTAAAACAGTAGGTCACTTCATTTGAGTGGCAACATTAAAACTTACAGCAAGAATTGACTTCGCGGTTCCCAAAAACTTGGCAAAATTGTAAACGCCAAATATCTTTTTTTATGATACTAGAATAACTTTAACATTCATTAAGACATAATTTAACATTAATTACCCAGTTAGGAGCATTAAGAGTACAAACAACTTTGACACACACGAAAAATATATAATTAACGACACTTTTTTATTTTTCTGCAAATACAAAACAAACTAAAAAACTCAATAAACATGGCAATGAACTTGGCATTACAAGACGTAGGCTGCAAACTAATGGTCTAAGCTTTACATTGCATATGCATAACCAGTAGGGAAAAATCAAATTCACGTAGATTAACTAGTTAATATGTATGTATGTTTGAATGTAGTAGCGACCGAAAACTTCATTAACTGATTAATCTGATGCGGTAGCCTACCAGTTCGATAATTTTTAACAACCTTCATCTATGCATTTAGCGACATCTGTCATAGCCAAACTAAAAAGGCAAACTACTACTAACCAACCAGCGTGGTTGATAAAATTGAGTATGCAAACTCATAAGCCGCTAGTACCCTGCAGGAAATGTATCTAACTATAAGCTAACTTTAAGTTGATTAGGATGGAGCTAAAAGTCACTATTATCTGTATATTTGCTTTAAGCTAACTATATTTCTATGGCGATGGCCGCGAAATAGTCAAGGATGGTTACCTCTGCATTTGATGTTACTAACTTGTAACTAACCACTTTTGGACATCAATTATCAATAGGAAAACCAAAACATTTTTTTTATTTATTTTTTATTATTTATTTATTTATTTTATTACATTTCATATTTGCTTACATATTCTGCTGTAGGTGGTTCCATATTCGAACTACGTCAGACATAACTTCAAAATTCAAATATGTAATTTCGATCTGCCTTTTATTTGTCCTCAATTCGAAAAAGTATTTGCGAAGTGCAGGATATTTAAATAGAAACGCGTTTAAAGAAAACAATAACTTGTTTCATGTTAGCTTTTTGTAGCTAACTACAAGTTATTTATTTTTTTTAAATCCCACAAAAAAGCTAACTACAAGTGGGTGATTTTTTTTCAGTTGATAATTTTTTTCTGCAGGGTATGGTATTGCTGCTCTTCATTAAAACTGCCCATCTGTAAAGAAAATACTCTACTGTTATCTTCTCGTTTTCCCCTCCTGCATCTTCATCAGAAGTCATTGCAACCGACCAATGCCCAGTAAGAACAGCTACTAGCAACGCAATGTCAGGTCTATGGGCCACATGAGTTTTGTTATAGGGCAGCCTGACGCTATGCGCAACCTTTGACTTGATTTTTTTTTAATTCTGAAAAAAAAATGTTACTGAAGAATGCGGAATCCGCCCTGGCTAACTCATTTGCAGCTTCATTTTTGGGAGTGTTGCGATGACTAGGAATACAAACAACATCCACTTACTTTGTACTGACTACTAACTGAGATCAAAAGAGTTCTACACTCCTTAATAAACTTTGACTTTGTTTTTAAAGACGCCAGAGCGTTAATGGCCGCCCGGCTGTCCGAGAAAATTGCTCGCTTTGACGGTTGCGTAAACTACTACCTTTCAAAAGAGTACATCCTTCAGCGATAGTGAGTACTTTTGCCTGTAAAGCACTAGCAAAGCCAAGTAGATAGGTTGATCTGTTCAATCCGAGAGATTCAGAGAAAACACCTTTTCCAACTCTGCGTTCCATTTTGCCACCATCAATGCTCACCCGTCCCAGTCGGCTCTCGACGGTAGAATGACCCCGAAGGGTCTGGAATTATATTTCAGGTGGTGTATAATCGTTATACAAGCTTATCTATTCTTCTTCTTCATTTTTTAATACCAATCCGGACATAGGACATCCATTACGCCTACGTGTCATTTGGTTCGGTTTCTGGCAACCGCTTTGATTTCCTTCTGAGTTGAGTCGCCTCCTGCTCAACTGTTCTTCGCCACGCTCCATGTGGTCTGTCAGTTTCCTGCCGATTAGGGGATTCCATTCCATGGCCTTCTTTGCAATACTGCCATCTTCTTTGCGCAAAGTGTGACCTATCTCCATCCATTTCTGTCTCCAGATCCAGATGTCAAGGGGCTTCATATTAGCTTCTCTGAGCAACTCCTCATTTGAGATTGCTTAACCAAAAAAAACAAAAAAAGATATCGGTTTACGAAAACTTGCAGGCGTCTAATTATTGCAATGGTGACTTTCAAAGTAGAGCAACCATACAGAAGTATGGATAGCACCTTGAAGTTGAAAAGCCTGATCTTTAAACTGAAACTCAGACTTATGTTTCGCCTTAACGTGTGCATTATACCAAAATCCACTCTGGCTTTACTTATTCGGCG